TTTGTATGTTCCACTTCGTTTGTTAGTTACGTAATGTCATACTGGGCAAGCAAATTGAAACGCGAAAACAAGAAACCAAAGGAAAAGCAACTTCCCATTGATACAAAATCAAAACATGAAAAAAAAAAAATCAAATGCAAGTTTCTAAATAACTAAAAAATAAAGTGCTTTTGTTCTAGTATGACGGGTTTGCATCAATAAGAAGTTGTTTTAAACTCTACTTTAAAAATATTTAATATACAGCAATCCTTTTTCCAGTATTGCTTTCAGTGATATAACGGATTAATCAATCAATCTGCAACGGTTAGAAACATAAACTGTGATAATAACTTTTTTAGCTACAGTTATTTAAATCGAGACCATCGGATTTAAATCAAATCAATTCGATTTAAATAAAAAAAAACTAATTTATTTAACTAAAAAATGAGTTTTCTAAACTCATATTTTTACATTGACGTCATTGACGTCAAACATTGACGTCGTCACATGAACGTTACATTTTTTACGTTACGGTTTACATTGACGTCGTCACATGAACGACGTGATGACGTCAAGGTATGCACGTAACTTCATCGTCATCCGAATACATGTATGTGAATGTAAACGATCGTCGTGTGACACTGAAACGTCAGGTGACACTGACACTGTGACGTCACGTAACTTCATGACGACACGTTACGCTATCACGTCATGATGTCACATGACGTGACCTGACATCACGAGACGTGTGCTGACACCATGACCTTGCAACGAACCTATAAATGCTATAGGCGTTTACAGCGCCTTTGGAAGATATACAGTTTCTTCTTTTGTACTCTCTTCCTCCCTCCACAACAATGACCCTTTTCGGTATCCTCCCTCCCCGGCTTATGTACTATTCCCTCCTCTTTCCCTTCTTGTTGACGCCTCTTCTCATTCCGTTGCCGCCACTTGGCGGGAGATCCCCTGACGCGGCGGTGATTATGGAAAGCAGCTCAATCCCGGCGCAACACAGATTGGCACTCGGTAAATAGCGGCCGATTCTGCGAGTACGAAGGTGGGCGGGAGGGACGCTATTGTGACGACCAGCGTCGAAGGACATTCCTTGTTTACGGCCCCAGCGGACTTTGCCGCCTCTTGTGTGCCTTATCTTTCGTGCAAGAAAAAGGCCGCGGTCCTTTTTATTACAAGGTACATCGCGCGACGCTGTTAGCGCGAACAAGGGACGGCCGGTTTTAGATGTGTTTCTTTTCCTCTTAAAATCAAAATGCTGTCATCAAAGTACTAGTACTAAAGTGCTCATCTGGGACCTAAGCGGTAAAGTTCGGTGCCCGCCGATGCCCTTTCGAACTTAAACGCGAAAAAGCACCGACGTTGTATTCGCGTTAACAGTGTCGAGCAATCCTCGTGCAAAACAAGGAATTAACATACGAGTACCGCTAACCCAAACTGTAGGAACAAAAAAAAAAATAAACGTGTAAAAAAAAGAAAAAAAAAACACCTTGCCCCTTGTTTTTTTCTTTTCACCCACTACACACTAAAGTAAATTGACCACACGGGGAAAAAAATTACAAATGAATACGGTGAACGCTGAACCCTGTTCAATTTTAGAGCAACAACAAAATTAAAACAAGAAAAAAGAAAAAAAAAATCCAAAAAGCGGCGTTTTTATTTCACTTCTTTTTAAGTGCTTCAACTTCACGTTAATAAAAAAAACTGACACTTTTAAAATTCCCGACTTTTTTCGTCGATTACTTTACTCTTTTTATCGCTAACCCAGCGAATAATTTTTATCAATTTCGTGAAACAGAGTTGATTAGTTGACTGCTGAACTGGGCCAATCGTCTGCCATTAAAAAAGAAAACTATTTGCAACTCAAAATCAACGGCAAAAAACAATACAAAAAGAACAAAATAAAATTACAGAATCTCATCTAGAAATGAGGAATGGCGCGCATTTGTTTTATCCCTATGCACAGGCAACCGGCTCCCTAAAGTCGGTTTTACCCCTGAAAGAGTGTACCTGAGGAGAAGCCGAACGTCCAAGGCACGCGCCCAAGGATGTTTAAACAGACAGGACCCGGCATGACGTCAGCCTGAGTGGAGCCGGAAGAGGCGTTTAATCCCAGACTGCCTTGCGCACCCGTTCCGAGGCCGTGGGGTAGCGCACCGGCGGTTTGTCTGCTTTCTAATCTGCTCCGGCGTGTGCTTCACGAGGCTAGCTTTCGATGCGGTCGGCGTCCGCCGTGGCCGTCCACGATGCAAATGCTTTGCAGCGTGAGTGTTTATACTTAGTTCCACATTATGTGCGAGCGAAGTCAGAACTGGAAGCGCGAGCCCGCTGTTCTGTGCGCTCCTGGCTTGCATGCGCGATCGTGCGATCTGCTGCTGCTGTTTATTAAAAAATGCGTTGCGCACCGCCAAGTCCTTCACGGTGCGTCGTCTAGAGCGTCTCAATTCTAGTCACTTACTTTCTGCTGGGCAACCAGGCGTTCGTTTATAATAATGTCATTTAATTCCGACCATACCGGTTTAAAAGTCTCCCGTTAAGCGCTGTTTCCAATAACAGTGGGTGCCGCCATTACTTTCAGTACACACAGTCGCGTTGCCACGGAAATGTCATGGCAACGCGGTTGTTTGCACCGAAATTAATGGCGGCGCCCACTAACTAAGCTTCCCATTGGTCAAGAAATGCTCGTTGCGGCCCGTGGCCACGCCTACTTCCGTTACACTTCGCTCCATGCATTGGGGATAGGGACGCCACCTCCTGCCCATTATAACCTCCTTGCACGCGCCGTTTGCATAGAAGGCGTAGCCCCAAAATTGGGTACGGAAGCGCGTTTCCTTTTATCTATTTTACCTTATCTCTGTGTAAACACTTATTCTCGCAAACTACGTTTACCAAAATAGTGACCTTTTACAGTAGATCGCTAATATTTATAATTGTGTTGTATGTATGTTTATACGGCCCAGAACTTAGTCTGACTCTACGGGCGACTTGTCTCCCAGCTGTAGATGAGAAATTCAGTCAGTGCAGTACAAACCGTCAGCCTGGGGTCTTTAACGTGCATCACGCAGTCGTGATACACGACCGCACGCCAGTACGATGCTCATCCAGATCGAAACAAGCAGGGGTGGCGATTGAACCCAGGATCTCTGGGTTTTGCAGCGCGAACTTTCGCTCCACGCGCTCCGAGATAGTACGCCACCACACTCGGCCACCAATCTTGCTTTTTCAAGTTGCACATTTAAATTATATTCACTGCTTTTTCTTTTTTTCTCATCTTTGGAAATACTATAAAGCAAAACACACGTTTTTTTTTTGTTTTTTTTTTGGTTCTAGAAAGCCAAAAAGCAAAAAAAAAAAATGTTGCGTTAGGATTTTTTTTTTCTATTTGCCCTGAGGCCCATAGGGCCATAGGGCCCCTAGAAAATAGGCGAAATTGGCCAATTATTCAACTAATTGTCTGAAAAAGCTTTTACTTAATTTTTTTTCCAGATTTCGGGGCAAAATGTATTTGTAAAGTTGACGCTCGACCTCATTATAGTCAAGCCGTGACGTAAAAATTTCATTAAAAATTAAAGACGCAAGCCAAAACCGAGCTACTGAAGAGCGTCTGCCACATTGATCGCTCCACGTTGCGCTTGCGTCGCACTGATCCCGTCACCCGCAGCGCGGTCACGTGGGTTGTGTAGTGATTTGTCAGCGCTGGTTGCTGCATTATGAGTATGAATAGGAAAAGGCCGGGCCTCATGGCGGGCTATGTCTATAAACTTTATTTCATCTCAAGCTCGAGCGCTCTACCAGAGCTACGGCTTAACAGAGCGAATCAGGCTGGATCAAAACCTTTAATTGAGTCACTCCGTTTTTTTTCAAGTCTCGCTGCCCGTATTACAGCCACCTCATAAAATGAAGTGCGAAGAGTATACGTCGTGGCATTGCGTTTTAATGCGGTTAGCATTAGGATCCTCGTTTTGGCGGAAACCCGGCGATGTCTTTCGTTTGTCAGCGCCGGGGAGAGAGGGAGAAGGAGGGGGAGAGGGCGATACGTGCGAAGCTCCCGTTGGCCCGGAGCGCTGACTTCGCAAGCGTCAACCTCTTCCTCTCTCCCCAGCGCTGACAAACTGAAAGACACCGCCGGGTTTTCGTCAAGACAAGCTATTTCGTTTTCGTTAGTCGCGCGCACAGCTAGCTCTGAGCCAGAGAGTTGGCGGCGCCGCGCAGCGCCGCGGTGGAATGCGGGCGAGCTGAGTTTCCGCTCTGCCGTCGCCGGTTGCTTTGGGTTTTGGTTCACGTAGTGGCGGCGCAGCGACTGTGATTTGTGTGTGTGTGTGCAGTTAAAACGATGGATGCGGTTCCCTCCACGAGTGATATAGATAACCGTATCCAAGGACGTCGACGCACTCTGACAGATAGAGTACGGGAAAGGGGTGAAAAAAGTTACAGGAAAATCCATTGGTGGGTAATTGGGGACTGCGTTAGCATGACCCTCGGGAAAACGCCACACGCGTCCCCCTTTGGGAAACGCTAACAGTGACCCCGCAACGAGGCCAAAAAGATGCAGCAAAAATAGAAGCAAGAAAGAAAGCCAGAAAAAAAAGAAGAGAAGTGGTCAGTGTTAGCGTTTCCCAAAAGGGAAAGCATGTGGCGTTTCCAAGGGTCATGCCAACGCATTCCCGAAGAATCCACCAATGGATCTTCCTGTCCTTTAGGTCTGTCCGTTTGTGCTTGTTTTTACCACTGTCTCTCACTCCGCTCGGACTTAACTAAGGCCGGTTGCCAGATGCACCTCAGCGCTGAAGTAAACCAAAATCAGCGCCACCGACAACGCTGAAACAGCTTTGACTTGTCGCTCACCTTCTGCGAGTGAGCAAGAAAACGCGGGGGGTGGCATGCAGCGGAGCACTGATGCCGCGGAGCGCTGATGCAGCGCTGGTATGCAGCAAATTCAGCTCCGTGTCTCCAGCCCCGTGTCTAGAGCGGGAGATTCTCGGTCAGCGCGCAGCGACAGGTGTACGCACCGATGGAGGGCTTGTAGAGCTGGGGCGGGCGCATGGTGGCCCCCGTGAGGCGGCCCCTGATGAGCGGCCTCTTGGGGGCCCCCACCAGCCAGGCGGGCGTGATGACGGCCGCCAGCATGGACAGCGCCGTGGCCACCGTCAGCAGGGTCCACAGCAGCGTGCGCGACGTCACAATCACGTGGCTCATGACGGCGCCGGGGCGCGACGGCCAGCCGCCTCAGCCAGGGCACCCGCTGGGAACGAGAACGACACCCTAAGAATCAGCAATTCTGCTCCGCGCTTGTTTATACAGCGGGAGCTTAGTCAGCCCCGATGGACGTCTGCTGTTTCCGCTGTAGATGAGGATATTTAGCCAGTGCATCGTGACTGCTAGGCTGGTGTCTCGAACGTGCGTTACGCTGTAGCGATATACGACCGCACGTCGGTACGATGCTCGTCCACATCAAGACGGGCAGGGGTGGGGATTTGAGCCCAGGAACCCTGGGTTCAATTCCCACGTGTTCCCCTCAGTCACGATTCCACTATTTCATAGGGAAAGGATATACCCCCTTTCACCTTACGATGCATCACGTGTCCGTGCCGTCCCCGTCACTGCGCCCCTCCCTAACTTCACGTGGTGACACTCACGCGGCACTGAATTATTCCGATGGCTCGTGGTCTTGTGTAGTCTCCGCTTCGGTCAACCGTAAGACGAAACGGGGCATATGTCAAAGCCACGCGCACGAGGGCGGCATGACAATACCGAATTCCCTTTGGTTATAGCCTCTGCTACATAGGGCAAACCAAACGTTGCCTTAATGACCGTTTAACCGAACAGAAACTTCGCATTAAGTGCAGGGACCACTACTCAGAATCGTCAAAACATGTCGAGTGTGATAATTGTGTCCCACTTCGGCAGTCCTCCTCAATGCACCTCCATTCAGATTAGCAGCTAAAAGAGGTTGTGTAACGGTGGTGCATATACCACTTGGCTTTGTATACGCAGTTGCAATAGAGAACGTCTTTTCCGTGTCATTCTGATCACTCGCGCGCCTTGCCGGAAATTCTAGAAAAAGTACATACATTGGGGGCCCATATGGTGTGGAGTCTGCACGCTGGACTATGGCGTGTTTGTGTCCAAACCTAAGGTCACACCGGGCTGTCACCACCCCGATACACCGCATGAGTTACCGTGGGGTACTGCGACCCCTATGAATACGTATAATTAAGCATTCCCAAAAAGGGAAGGGTAGAAATAATTTATCTTACTTCGCCGCTTTTACCTCGAAAAGTATTTCTGAGTAAGCTTCCACAGTCTCACTACATGACGAACGTTTAAAAGGAAATCAAGGTTATAACCAAATGCCGCTTGGGCGATCGACGAACCAGCTCGCGTTCGTGGCCCTAAAACTCACACATGGAACGCACTGCTCCCGCGTTTCTTTCATTGCGTTCGATCAAAAGATCGTTGAGATTCTCGACAAAGCACATAAAACATGAAAATCCAATCCCCTTTCAAAGCCCATTTAAGATACTAGCTCCTCGCAAACCTACAATAGAACAATCGCAGACTCGCTCACTGACGACTGTTGGCTTCAGCCTTATAAACAAGACGCCTTAGCGACGTGCGACTCTATGAATCCCTAGCCTCATCCATTGCGTCAACTGGCAGACGTGACTTTTACTTCATTTCACTTCACGAGAGGATGCAGAGGATGCAAGTCGAGCCACCGAAGCCATTTCGATGCTGCGTGAGCGTCTCCTTATCACGTGACCTTCGAGACTGGCGCAGGGACACGGGGGTCGCGCAGTCACGTGGTGCGGTTACAGCGCTAGATTCACTGGGAAGGCTCGTAGCGTCCGCTAACGGTCCATCGTAAAAGGAAACGAAGTATAAAGCCTAGAATGAAAGGCAGGAAAAAAACCTCCAACGCCAAGCAGCCTGAATGGAAGGGTGCAATTCGAGACGAGGCGTACAAAAGGATCCCCTCCCTCCGAACTGCGCACGCCTGCACAACGGGAATAAAGGAAAGAGAGGCCAGGTCTCGACGCCTCCTTCTCGAGGCACACTCCGTGAATAACGCTCCTCCAAGTGCCCAATCATCCGCCATCATATACTCCATCCCAAACGATCCTTCTTGTTTATTTTTATTACTATTATTTTTGGTAATTTTGCGCGATTCGGACTCGGATCGGGAAGCTTAAAAAAGAAACGCTTTGTTCCTCGTTCGATCGCCTCTCGTGTCTTTTGTAAAGCAGCTCCGAGCTACGATTTGCTCCTTCTCTCGACGCATTTGTTTCCACAAGCCGGAGCACGGACACGGTTGAATGGCTCGCTGCCCGCCTGGACGTACTCGGCCTCTTCAGCTCGTTCTTCACAGTCCGTCTTCTATGCGATCGTCTTCCGTCGTTCACTGCCGTCGCTCCCACCGTACATGGAACATTCATTTTCTCACCAGTAGAGTATACTTGTTTCTTTCTTTCTTTTTCTTTTTTCTTAAGCGCGGTCGAATATTTCGACATTTCAAACCATCTCATAGATTCGGGAATGCCATCGCTATCTTTGTATCAGCCTTCCGAAATCTCTCCCAACAGAAACACACACACAAAACTACGGTATTCAAATTGCCTTTCCCTCTTTTCTCGTGCACCGAGCTTTCGCCCTCGCCGCCCTCAATCGAAACGACGAGCCGTCTCCTGAACATTCCATCGCTACATATGCGACGTCGAACTCGGGCTTCGAACGCTTTTTCGTTTTAGCTTCACCATTTCGAGAGGAGGGTACGTCCTTCTCGCAGTCGTCGTTTTCGTCGTGTGCGAACGCGACGACGCTCGCTGTTGCGTTTTCCTTTCTCCCCGGGACCCATTGTGCGAAGCCGCGGGGGCGCGTGTAATGCACACCGCCCTGCGCCGGCGCACGAAGCGGCCGGAATGCAGCGGGATCCCCAATCGCTCGCAATATGCGGGAGGGGAGGAGAGCCACAGAGGAGGGGGGAGGCTGCGGACAACCTGGCTCCACGCGGCGTACGGCTCCCCTCCGTTTCGCCTCACGATGGACCGCCGCCCACGCTACGGCACGACGGAGCCAATCGAGCAGAGCCAAAAACGCATCGTCACGTATCGCCTTTGTGCGTTTCCTCAACACCGATTACACCAATCAGCACGCACGGTGAACGCACCCGGCGCTTTCTTCCGCCCACGACTGGTTTAGTCTCCGAATAGCAGACCCATATGCGGAGAGCGAGTCGTCTGCTTCTTGCACAGGGGGTTCCGGTGACGTCAGAACGACGCCGATTTCTGATTGGCTTTGATCGTAGGATAGTGGGTAGACCTCGAAGCAAGCTGAATCGGCGTCTGCCCACCATCCTTCATTGATAACCAATCAGAGCTCGGCGTTCTCACACGACCACAACCCCTGCAAAAGAAGCAGACGAACTTGCGCTCCGCATAAAGACAACGAGCGTCGTGACGATGCATTTTTTGGCGCTGCTCGATCGGCTTTATCCGATGGCGGTATCGGCTGTGGTTCGGCTTGACGTGAAACGGAGCCTAGCCAATCCAGAGCCGTGAAGGCATATCACGTGACTTACACACGCCCCGCACGTCGCTACGCTCCTCCAGAAGGTCACGTGACGCTCGCGCGGCATTGAATTCGCTCGGATGGTTCGTAGGTTGTCCTCCGCGGTCCATCGTGTTTTCTCTTCCTGCTCTTCCGGTTCCCCGCCTGGAAAACCTCTCTCTTTCTCCCCCGAGCGATGTATCGGAAACTCTCCGAGCGAGACTGTGTATAGTACAGCCAGCGTGCGCGTAAAGCGTCGTCCCCGAGCCCCCGAAGTCCCCCCCGTCGCGTGATCGAGCAACGCTACGGTTCGGGCTTCTGCTCGTCGGGGCCCAGGGAGGCATATGGGACGCCTCCCCACCCGCCCGCGCAGGCAGCGAGCGGACCACCGCGTCGGAGGAGAAACGCGCCTTCACCGGTCGTCTCGCTGCGTGGCTTTATAGCCGGTTTTCGGGGGCAGCCGAGTGTGACGCGCGCTTCGTTCGTTGTTTTTTTTGTTTTTTTGTTTTTTTTTGCATTGCGGAGTGTATGGTGCGATGTTTTTTTCCGACGGTATCGGCCTACCCGAATGTCTTTTTTGCGGCGATAGGAAAACGACAGAGAGCTCCCCCAAGAGTAGCGCGGTAGAGAAAGTGCACGTGCAAAGCTCGAAAGGACTGTCCGGTGCTCGAAAAGCACGCAGCAGTGCTGGAACAGAAGCTCAACCACGAAAACCGGGGAAAAAAAAAAGTAAACGGAAATCATCATTTTTAGACGGATCACGAAGCCAGCGCTACGAGGCGCCCAAATTGGTGGCGACTTTTTTGCGGGACAGTGTCACAACGTATAAAACGGCAGCAAGCTTACCACATTACGTGAGAACGTAAATGCACTCGTTTTTTTTTTCTTTTTATAATTTCTCAATCGACGGCGATATCGTCCGTCGACTCCCTTCCCCGTACCTTCCCGCGCGGAGGTTCGGCCGGATCAATCAGTGCCTGGAGTATAACGAGAGGGTCGAACCCATCGCAGCGTCGCATGATCTCCGATGACAGCCGAGCGGTGAAACGCCGCCTTCCCCCGCATTAGGACGAAAGTGAGACGAAGCCCCGCCGTCCGCCGTGGCATTACCGTCGACGCCGGGAGGAGATGAAAGAAAAACGATCCCGAGTTCCCCATTTCGCGGTGGGAAAAGAGCCACGAAATAGGAGCTCTCGACGGACTCGCCCAGCCTAGAGACCGGCGACGGAACGGCCGGAAGCAACGGAGGAAACAATTTCCGGTGCGGGAACCGTATCTTCGCGGCCTCTCCCGCACGCGATCACCTTCGGCACCGATAATCGCGAAGGCTCGTTTGGTTCCGTCAACGGTGTTCTGCCGATAACCGTGTCGCTCTGTTCCCACACCTTAGGGCATTCGCGCATACGCGTACGCCGCCCAAATAGTAACTGCGTTGTGCGTATGTTTGTACAGCCGGCAGTTAGTCCGCCTCAATGGGCGCCTGGTGCGTCAGCTGTAGACGAACGACTTGGCCATTGCGGTACAACCGCTAGTCTGGAGTCTTTAACGTGTACCACGCAGTAGTGATACACGACCGCACGCCGGTACGATCCTCATCCAGGTCGAAACGGGCAGGGGTGAGGATTGAACCCAGGGATCCCTCGGTTCTGCAGAGCGAGCTTTCGCTACACGTGTTCCGAGCGGAGGTGCGCTAACGCA